AAATAACGTCTTATTCGATCATCCAAAGATCACGCTTTTTATTATTCTGATTTTTTTTTTTTAATTTGAAAACTTGTCATTTACATGAATAATTAGACGGAAGACAAAGTTTTAACAAATAAATTCAATGCACAGGCACTTGTTACATATCTACTGCATACATAGTTAGAACGAAAAATTTACACACAGAACAGGCTGCTTAAACAGAAATTTTCGCTCCTTTATGGAATGCAAATATTTCTGAAAGACTGAGAATAATCATAAAAACAAAACTTCAAATGACCGAATTTGAGTAGTGCCAAATATTTCACTTGGAAATAAATGCATACAATATCTTAGCCGTATATAGTACAAAACTTAAACCTAACCCCAAAAGTATCGGACATATCATTTGCAACCAAATTCAAAATAATATTGTTTGCCACTTATGTATATTTATTTAATTTTAAGAATTTTCACTTGAAATACAATTCATTCTCTAACAAAACTCATATAAAACTATGTAGAAAACTAAAAACAAGCCCAAAATTTTCACGTAATTCTTAGACACAGTTCATTCTCTAACAAAACTCATATAAAATTATGTAGAAAACTAAAAAAAAAAAAAAACAAAAACAAAAAAATGTTCACGTAATTCTTACGACACCTGAATCTCGCACATTAGTTTACTCAAATTTAATAGCCCTGCAAACCATTTTTTCAGAGTATTCTGCATTGTAAAGAAATTTAAAGAATTCGTTAAGATTTAATTCGATTTTTTGCCGAATTTTCTAAAATGAAATAAATTACGCACACTTCCATTCTTTTACGAAATTTCGGAAGAAAATCTGTTAAGCAACGAAAATAATGGTGCTATGTGAAGAATATCTTTCAGAATTTTCTTTATTTTTCGTACTGAAATTTCTTTACGAGTTCGTGTCAACCACTTCATATAATTTTCTTTGAAAATTCGTAAAAAAATCGTTACAGAAATGAGATACTCCTAACGATTTCCTTAAGATTTCGGGAACTTTGGTTTGCAGGGAGGCTACAAAACTGCGTACTCAAAACAATTTAACACTTCTGAGAAGAAAGTTGGAAATTTTGATGAAACTATTTTTTCTACCCTATTTTAATTGAAAATTCTTAAAAATTAAATGGTAAACAATATCATTTTGAATTTGGTTGCAAATCATATGCCCGATTCTGTACGCTACTCTATATAAAACTAATGCTATCGAGTAATTTAAACCTATTTTACTTATAGATAATTAAGGCGACCTATCAACTGATATGACTTAAAAATTTATAAAATTACACCTTCTTCAGCTTATCTGTAATGAAAAAGAATACACTCATAAAAAATTGTTAATTTAAATGGAGTCAAATTTTTCTTACCTCGAACCCGCATTAGCTTTCGACACATTTTATTGTAGTGCTTCGCTTGTTGCGGTTCTTCAAACATGCGTAGTGCTATCGCCTGATTGAAACATTCCAACGCCTTTTGCATCAATTCTTTATCCAACTCAATGACAACGCGATAGTTGCCGCTAGATGTTGCCTGCAAATCCACATCTTGTGCTGTACTAAAGCCACTATCACTGTCTTCTAAATCACTACTAGTATCTTCATCTTTGGCAAAGGCTTGCGTGTTATTCTTCTTTTTCTTTAATTTTGGAGCGCGAGCGGACATATCTGTGGCAGTAACACAAAGGTTTACTTAAAAGAAATAAATAATAGAAAAAGTTGACTAGGGCTTACCTTCATTTGATTTCCGCTTTGATGCAGCCACTATTCTATTGCGCTCGTCTGCCTTGTGGTCTCGTTTGGGGCAGCAGCAGATTTTCACATCCATTACACGCTGTGAAAGTATTTCACCACTAAACGTAAATAGAACAAATGAAATGCATAATACGTTTTTTATAAGCACAATTGCTATATAAGACTTTCACAATAATGATAGCGCAAGGTTGCATGCAGCAACATGTTCACTTATACACTACACACTGCGTTGTCATTAGAAACGTGCGTCACCTAACAGCACATCTCCCCCTCACCGTCTCACTCACCTCATGCCCTCCAGCAGAAATATTAAGCTTGTCTCCTTGCGCCCAATGCACGAATTCTGGCAAGTAAACTTGATGGCGATCGTTTGCCTTATGGTATTGTCATTCTTTATGACAGACGCACCCAATGGAATTAAAACCGAGTAGCGATCATGAATGCTTTTACCCTCAGGTGTGCCACAGTATTCAGCGGAAGGATTCTCACAGCGTAGCAAACTCTGACGCCGCTTCGGGTGAGATTCTATAAGGTGGTTGAAAACAAAAAGTAAGTTCTTGCTGTAAACATCCCCATTAACAGCAGCAGAATATAACAGAAGTGAAAGGGAAAACAACTTACCAGTATCTTTGCTTAGGTGATTTTGGCAACGCAACACAGGCTCGCTCACCTCGTTCTTGAAACTCATCAGCACGCGTACGCGTAACTGTTGCAAAGGCAGCTTCGGCACGTATATTACATCCACCGTAAAAATATCATTCATGCGTATATAGAGCTTCTTGCGAGTAGACGAAAACATCCAACCCTTTTGAGCTTTACCTCTACTGCAGACTTGTAAGTCAAACTTGTAACCGCCGGTGTCATGCTCCTCAAATGTAGGCAATACATCTAAATTCTAAGGAGAAAAAAAAGGTGTTCACTTACATTGGAATGCACATTACGAATATATATTAAACAAATACACTCACCGGTTTAACATCCAATTGTTCCTTCATTAATAGCTCCTGTATGGCCGATTGCTGTGTGAAAAAGGGAGAATATTTATTTTATGTATTATATTAAATATAAACAATTTAATTGTTATTTGCTTAAAATAAAATCATTTGCTTATTTACATAGCCCTCATAACGGCGACATAAATGTAAGAGCTTCATTTTGTTACTCCTGTTTGGCTGCAAGCAAATTAACGACTAACTGGCTTACTGACTCACCAACTCACCGTAGAGCGACCACGAAAGCCAACAATAAAATCTGACTAAGCATTTTTTGTTTTCATTCATAATTTCGTGTTGTTTGTAAACAATTTCATTCGCTTACGCTTCGTTGTTATTGTATTGGTTCCTTTACTACGCCGCTTGTTCGTTTGTTTGTGTTTTAGTGTTGTGCAGCGGTATGAGTAAGAGCGAAACTTTAGTAACGCGTCCGATATGTATAACAGAAGGAACCAGATGAATGCAAGCAAACTTATGAAAGTACTTGTGGCTTCTGGTGAAACACATACATATATGTACATATATTTATATACACAAGAAATGCGGTAAGTTAACTTGAGTTACAACCCAGTAAAAACTCTATCTGTAAACTAACGTGTTAGTTGCTGGAATTAATTGTATAATCGATTATCGTAAACAGTAATGCATGTGCGCTTGTGTGTATGCCGTTAAAATTGAAACAGATGTTGTTGTTGTTGTTGTAGCAGCATACAAATTCCCCAAAGACTTTTTGGGGAGTGTTGCTGGAGTGACAGTACTTGGCCAGATATAAATCTGGGTCGTTCCGGTTACGTAGACCCGACTGTCGTGGGAACGAATTGAAACAGATCTCTTGTAACCGTTATGCTTTTTTTTTCAAGTCCTTAAATAATAGTTATATGTTCACCGATATATTTTCACTCAAAATTAAAAGTTAAAATTTGACTTCTATTTTTTCAGTCAAATATAAAAGTTAAAATTTTACTTTTATTTTTATAGTCATATATGTATATAAGTTAATAATTAAAGATATGTGTATTTTTACAATTAAAACATATTATATTGTGACTATGTAAACTGCTATTCTTATATTTGACTGAAAAAAAATAAGTCAAATTTTAACTTTTATTTTTTGCTGAAAAAATGTAAGTCAAATTTTAAATTTTATTTTTAACTGGAATAGTTAAAATTTTACTATTATTTTAATTGAAAATATACGAGTAAAAACGGTTAATTGCTGACTTTTTTGAAAAAAGTAAAAAAAAATTAAATCATATAAGATTAACATTCCTTGGCAAACAATCATCACATTGCTATACACAAATGTTGAAAAGACAAATTCTATCCGACTTACTTCTTGAAATCAAATTTCGAAAATAACTATTGTTTTCGGACCCTGCTTTTGTAACTCTACAAACTTTGTGTTTGTGATAAGTTTTTATTCACTTCTTTTAATTTATATTTTGAATGTACATATCCATATATTTGATATTTTAATTTATATTTTATTATAATTTTATCTTAAAATTTTTTGAGAATTTGTCTAATGTTGAATTTTGGATGTGTTTAGCAGTAATTACATTTAATAAAGCAAAAAATTGAAATAAATGGAAGAAGATTACTAAAGTCGTAGCGTACGAACCGCTACGTAAATAATACATTACCGGGCAAAAATTGCCGAAAAATATGGTTAGGTTATTCCCATCACTTTATTACTTCTGCTGCACACGAAAACAAATTCCTAAATATCTAATAAATAAACACCAAAATTAGCCCGCGCCTCACAAGCCGCTTGACTGATACTGGCAGATAGTAACGCACAATTAAAATGTAATTAACGCGCATTAAGCAATAACAAACAAATTGAGCGGCGCATAGAAAAGGTTACACAGAAGGATTTCACAGGAGGAATTCAAAAAGTCGTATTAAAACTATAGTTTTATTTGAATTCTATCCATAAAAAATTTGAATTAAGTTTGTTGAAAAAAACCGTGCGCTTTAATTATGGAGGATTACAAAAGTTTAAAATTTTTCATCGGTTTCTTTACTGTTACATTGATGTTGTTAGGTTTGTCGCCAAATACACTATCCCTGCGCCAACGCCGTTTTTACACTTCGTACATAATGACAGTATATTCGCTGGTCATAACACTGGTGTTTACAATATCTTATGGTCACGATGTCATTAACGACTTACGAACAGGCCAGTTCGATTTGAAAAATGCAGTTAAATTGTATAGTTATATGAATATTTTAGCGAGCATTATAAGCTACTTAACCGCCCTCTTTCTAACAAGGATTTGGGCGCAATCTCTGAATGGCGTCGCATTGTTTGAGACTATGCACTTCTTTGATGTGAGTGCAAGGATGGTAGTGAGTTCCAATAGACTAGTATTTCTTAAAAGTTTATTAATACCCATTATGCAAGAAGTGACTTTGATACTGCAACAAATGTATAATGAACCGGACAAGAATCTTATGTGGACTTTATATACTCTTCTGCCAATGATAGTGTCACAAATGTTTCCCAACATCTTTTTTGGGACTTTGGTAATTAGCAAAATGCTTGTGACAACATTAAATGAACATTTAGGCGAAGTTGTCAATGAAGTCAATTGCTTGCAGACCGCCTTGCAGATGAGTTTACACAAGCCATTCTATCGCATGCAACGTTTCTGTGAACTAGCTGACCGTTTGGATTTACTTGCACAAAAATACAAAATTATTTGCGAGCAGACAACAAAACATTTGCAGTTACATTCTGTTCCACTAATTTGCTCTTTGATGTGCAATTTATGTGGCATCACAGCTAGTTGCTTTACGCAGTATTTAGCAATTGCCGATACATTGGTTAACAATGAGCCTTATAACGTTTTCAATGCTTTAACAAATGCAGTTTTTCTGGTGATATCGGTGTTCGAGGTGTTATTGCAAGCGCAGATCTGCGATGAAAACCGGCTGAAGGTATATTACAGCTTATAAAGACCAAATACAAGTTACAAATTTTCAATTGCAGGTGCAGGAGACAGGGTTGATTCTTCAACGCATTAGCCTTACACATGCAGACGTGCGATTCAAGCAATCGGTAGAAGAATTTTCTTTGCTTGTTCTTGTAATCAAATATAAAATTCAGCCCCTCGGCCTCTTAGAAATAAATATTTCTCTTTTCCAAGATGTAAGTTTATATGAAGGTACGTAAAAGCATTTGAAATAGTAATTAATAAAAACTATTACATCACAGGTTCTATCGGCGGTAACGGGCTTTCTACTCATATTCGTACAAAGCGATCTTACGTTGCGCTTTTCATTGAAGTAAAAAGCAATAGATATACTACATACATATGTGTAAACATTGCGTGAAATATTTTGTTTGCATACCTGACTGAACTGCATGAGGTTATCCGACTATAAAGTAACAAAAAAAAAAGGTTATCAGCATACAACTAATTAAGCGATTGTAATCATTTAGTCAACTTACATTAAGCCCTTGCAGGTATGAATACGGCTCATCACTTGGTCTGCAAAATATAACAAAAGTAAGATATTGTTCAAGGTCGACATGCGCACATTCACACTTACAAAAGATCCTCTTCCTCCTTGCAAATCTCCTCATGAGGGTTAGATGCATCCGAATTGTGAGCCATGTCGATTATGGTTATGTCCTTGTTGGTTTGATTTGAGCTGCACGAATATTCACTAAATACAAAAATTAATAACATACATATGTATATATATAGAATTTATTCGCAATTTAATGTAAATACATATATCCGCGTGAGAATTCTGCTATTGTACTTATTTACATATAAAGTTGTGTACCTGCCAATAATTTGCAAGTCCGTCACTTATAAAAGTTAAACAAAATGTAGGTACTATGTAGAGCAGCAGTTGCAAGGTTGGGTTGATTATGCCTTCAAGTAATCTACCAATCCAAGAAACACTTGGCAAAATTTACACACAAAAAATTACCTTATTTTATGCCACGACATTATGGGAAAAATATCAACGTTTCAATACCAAATTATGCTTATATTCCCTAAAATTCCATAAAAGTTAAACGATTGTCGGATGAACAGACAAAAGAACGCATCTAGATAAAACATAAAACACACAAGAAATGCAAAGGACACAAAAGATGCGCAATACAAGTGTTGCCACTTTATCGCTAAAAAAAAAAAACAATGCCACCGAAAGTTTCTCAACTCATTTTGTTATAGGAATTCTATTGAAATGAACACACGGTTTTGGGCTTATTTATAGCTCATGGCATTTAAGCGCTTTACCTTTATAAAACTAAACATTTAAAAACTTGGAAACTATGAAAAATCATAAAATTATGAAGTGCACTCCAACACAAAAACATTTACCTAATATGGCAGCATTACATTAAAGTTAAATTCCACAAATCAGCTGTTTTCCATGACGTAGCGAACAAAGGTAGCACAAAGTAGTGCTGCCACTATGCTGAATTAACTTGAAAATGAGCGGAAATCCCTCAAGACGGTTTACGGGATTTAGACTGCGTTTATACACGAAAACTTTTGTAGCCGCAATTTTTCACATTCCCTTTTGGTGTTGCTCGTTTCATTTACACACGGCAATTTGTGTGTATGCAATTGTTGTTGTCAGCTGTGAACAGCGGTTCAATTTACGCAGACGAACGAGAGCACAAAGCGTGTTGCCCGAGCACGAGCAACTCGGTGCCCCTCTCCTTTCCTCGTCACTCTCTCTCCTACAAACGTCGAGTTGTGGCAACAAAAATCGCCGTGTGTAAATGAGCACTTAGTGATAACTTACAGGAAGTCGTTCCTATAGACATAAAAGCTGTAAGTGGCAACACTTTTAAGAGAGTAACTGAGCAACTGTTCCTAGTCAGAAGTTACACGAGTCTGGAGTTTTGAATCCTGAAAGTCCTTGAAAAGTGTCAAACGATGGGCAGGGTTGCATTTATAAACAAAAACAGAATGCGGTAAAAGAAAAGAGCCTTGTATTTGTTAAAAAAAAATGGAAGTAAACAACGAAATATTTGAATATGCATAGATTTAAATAATTATTTAGTGATATTTCTGCTAAATCAGTCCAGGAAATAGTGCCTTTTGCGTTCTCGTACACTTCTGCATCTGCACTTGGAAGAGTAAATTTGTAGTTTGACAGTTGCAGGCTTTAATCCGAAGCTCAAAGGAACAGGCTACATACATACGCACGTACATACTATGTATTAGTCTGTTACATATTCAAATATTTCGTTTACTTCCATTTTGTAACAAATACAAAGTTCGTTTGACACATTTCATGAACTTACAGGAAAAAACTCCGGATTAAATCCTGTAACTTCTGACAAGGAACAGTCGCGCAGTTAATCTCTAAAAAGTGTTCCCCCTTCCCGAGTGTATGTCTATGGGAACGACTTCCTGCAAGTTCTGACTAAATCCTGTAAACCGTAATGCTATTGGAACATACTATATATATATGTAGGAAAAAACAATAACAATTGGTCTATTTAGGGCCAGTTTTTCAGTGCCAGTTTAAACTTAGATTAAGTAAACCGAGTTTAAATCGAAGAGCTGACTGATATCTGATTGGCTAATCTTAGTTTAAACCAGCCAGATCGGGCGTTTAAACCGAGTTTAAACCTCGGCCGTGCACTGAAAATCTGGCCATTAGAGGTCAAGGGGTAGTTACTTGGTAATAACGCTGTTGGGATAATTTTCGGGAGTTAACGGCAATGGCCTCCCATTTTCCAATTCATCAAGTTGCTCGTATCCAGAATTCGCATCAGAAACAAAGTTATCAAATTTATCCGTGGCCAAAATGCTCATGAATTGTTCCACATTTTGTCCTAGGAAGCCCTGAAGAAGCTCCGATTCAGAATACTGTCGAAATGTAACGTTTGTATTATCTTTAGTAAGCTTATATTGCTCCTTATTTCTGGAAAAAAAGAGGCTGTTAAATTTTAAACTCGTCAATATTTTGTCTGCAAATACACCTGTCATGTTGTACGTCCGTATCAGATGTGACCGGATTTTTTATGGGACTTGACACTGCGTTGCTATTGCAACTATTTTCGCAGTGATTTTGAATCATCTTGGAAATTTGAAGCTTGACCTTGGAAATTTTGCAGACTCTGCTTTAGCAAATCCTCCTTCAGCTTCTTTGTATGCTGCAGGTGTGGATTGTGATGAAATTCGAAGTGGCTTCCCTGATAAGTTGTCGAATGCGATGTATGTAGACGTTTATGCACTATTTTTGAACAATTGTATGCCTCTTCGGCGCTTACCATTCACGTTTTTCATCGAATATTGGCTGGATATACTCAAAATCAATTACTTCAATAGATTTTTGTAGAAAGGAAATTTTGTTTAATGCGCCCTCCAGTAAAGATTGCCAAGTTTCAATATTCGCGTCAATCAAATGGAAAGTTTATATATTTTTTTTTGGTGTGAAGGTCTACTAAACAATCAAATTAAATTTGTATTTAATTTTTTACAAATACGAAAGCGGTAGATTGCGCACTCAACAAAACCGGCTGCTGAACGATAGTGATGTACTGAGTTGCCGGTACCCAATACTCAGTACCCAATACTTCAGAAAGATTTCGGCACCCAATACTTCCTTTCGATGCCCAGTACCGATTCTACACACAATTTCCGCTTTTTGACATAATTTATAACAAAATATCTGTCAAAAAAAGTTGCATCGACTTTATTTCGACTATGAATATGTCTCACTAATTTTACGTACTACTTAGTACGTGTAAGACGATTCTTTCCCAAAAGTTGAACAATTTGTACTAAGCAATGTTGTAACCACTTATTGAAACACTCTCATCGCCTTCTTGATATTGTCGCAACAGTAAAATTCTGTTTTATGAGTTTCCACCATCGTAAATCTAAAATTTTAGAAAAACGCTTTTACGGATGAACGAAGTCTTTCAGGCCTACAGAGATAACATTGTCCGATTCATTTAGAAAAAAATGATTTCTATAAGGAAGAGTTTATCTGCATTGTGGCGATGGAAAATGGAAATTAAAACCTCTATTAGCCCCTACACATGCGTTCTAATTGGAAGCCTAAACGTTTCGGTACCGTGTATCGAAAGAATTGGATACTTTTTAAATCGGTACCGAGGGTCGATCAATACTTCATAGTATCGACTCAGCACATCACTATTGAACGACAAATGTGGAACGCAAATCCACTATCTTGCGCAATGCTGCCAACTGTTGAATATTTGCAATTTTGCACATATATTTCATGCTTGTTCGTTCATGCAAATATTTGGAGGTGCCAGACTGAGTAACATCTAGCAAATAAAATACAAACCGTTGAAAATGGTCATAATGATGTTTTAATTACTAATTAAGATAATGCAGCACGAGCAAGTTGAAATATATTTTCGAAATCGATTCGCACTCTCTCAACTGCAGTCATATCGTGCAACTTTTATTTTTGAAACTGATTTCCGAAATGTAACAGAAAGGTTTTTCTGGCTTTTCCCATATCGAAATAAAGTTTCTCTTTCTCAATTTGACAGCGAATTGACACGCTCTTATAAACAAAATATTTTCGTAATTTATTACAAAACTCTCAAGCATATAAAACTAAAGTTAAAAGTGATATAAATTACATATTCTTAAACTATATCTATTCACATTACAGCATAAATTAGTTTGTTTCTATTAACTTTCTTCACATAAATCAAGCAAGTTTACATTTTCTTACATAATTTCTATAAACATATATCTTTTCTTTTGGTTCTTGATTTATCATAAATTCACCCCTATACGAACAAACTCAGCGTATCACTATTATGATTTCTACCGCGCTTCAAATTATGCAGTAGCGTACAAATATGCCGAGGCAAAAAAAAATGTTCAAATTTGTGTGCATTTCTTAGCACTTAAAATCTGTCTTTTGTGGCATATTTTTTTAGGCACAGTAATAATCACAATAGTAATGCGCTATTTTTGTGACTTTGTTAGAATAGGGGGGTTTATCTCATTTCGATTTAATTTATTGACAGAGCCATGATATGCCCCTAAATTACTATTTCACTCGTCCTTAAATGCAATGCCCTCAATCCAATCCAAGTATGGATAAATTTTGGTGTAAACTCCTGGCGCATTGGATTTCGCGCAAAACTTTCCAAACGATGTAATGCCAACCACGAATTTAACACATTTCAATTCGGGTAGTTCAGCATGCAATGGACCTCCAGAGTCACCCTGACACGTGTCTTTTCCACCAGTCATATGACCGGCACAGAACTGCTCATCCAAAATACCTTTTGACAGACGGCGTTCTTTCTTGTATAGCTTTTTACATAAATTCTGATTAATCATATTCAAATCGACTTTGAGTAGCTCATCGGATCGTGAACCACGAAACTTAGTGCGGCCCCAACCGGTGGCTACCAAAGTAGATATATCCAAATCTGGCAATTGCCAAAGACATGCAGGACGCACTTTCGGAGTTATTTTCGCTCGTTGTGCTAATTTCATTAATGCAATGTCGTGATAATAAGCAAACGATCGATATTTCGGATGCAATATAATTTTGGCAATGCGTATGTCCTGAGCTTCAGTTGAGATTAGAATCAGATTTGGCGCACCTAGACGAACGATATCGGGCGGATTCCTGCAATAAAATGAAAATCGTTATTGTTATTTATTTTAATTGTTGTTGTGAAATATGTGTAACTTACTCGCTGGCTGTAGCGCAATGAGCTGCTGTGAGAACATAGCGTTCACTTATCAATGTGCCGCCGCAACCCCAACGTATCTCCACATCTATCTTAGTCCAACCCAATGCGGCCTATGGAAGTACATACGTACATACATATGTATAGTTCGAAGTACAACGAAACACTCGTCTACAGTTACTTACCATATGTAGATATTCGCCTGCATTCGTGACCTGTCCACCAACAATCAAGGGTAAACTGGGCACACAAGTTTTCCCAGAAAATGTTCGATGAATATCAAACTTAACGCCTTCAATCAAATCATTATATTGCTGGCATTCTATAAAAAGATGTTAAATAGATCTACATATAAGTCATCTACACTTTCCAATACATTGAACATTAATAAAGTCCTAGGTACTCACTTTTCGCGCTGATGCTTTGTGTTTCCAATTGTTTTTCTGCCAATGGACAGCAGATGACCGGTACATTTTGTCGATGCGTACACAAGTCTATCTTAGTGCCATGCTCTCGATATTCCTTTATCACATGTAGACACTGGTGAGCCAATATACAGTAACCGGCGCGTCCATCAAAGCTGCGTCGACAAAATGAACCCTCTGGCCGCTTTGTGGGCGTAACCTTTTCGTTTTTTCTCTTGTCCATTATATTATAAACATCAGTATTATTAACATGCGAATTTGGTTGTAATTGGAAAAATTGATTATTTGGCACAGTGAGTGCCGTGTTGGCATTATTAACCACGTTGTAAAAGTAAGCATTCGGAATGTTTGCTTCACGTTTTGGCGGAGGGGGATTTTTCTTAAATATATTCATGCGATCAGGTAGTTTTTCAAAAATATTCGGCTTACCACGCCATGGTTTGGAAATGGTATACTTGGTGCTCTTGTAGTATTGAAATACTTGAGGTGAGTTAAAACCTAAAGAAAGTCACTTGTTGAAAATTGAATGTTTAGTTACATCACTTAATATAATAATTACCAATTGCATTCGATAGAAATAGGGCAAGTAGTAGTAGCTTATAAAAGCAGCACAATCCATGCATTGTTTTGAAAAATGTTGATAATCCAAGGATGACATCGCCAAGTGATAGGACAGGTAGCCTATAATAGGGAATGTTATTATTTTTGTTTATTTAATTTTTGCATATTTGCGAAAGAAGCCGTTATATGTGCATATTTTTGTGTGTATGTAAGTACCTACATAAATAAATATCAATGTGAATGTCAGATCAACTATAGTGATGTAAATACAATAAACAATGAAAAGCGTTAAAAAGGAATAGCCAAATTAAAATTTATATTAGTTAATAAAAAATGTTTTACTACATCGAGTCCTAACCGCTAAAAAACGTAAACGAAATTACTCTACATAGATGCTGCATCAAAAATAAAAACTTAAAACAAATGTCTATGGATTTTGAAAATTAGTGCAATTTTTTTAAATATTCTATTCTCTATATCTATTATTATTTGTATTGCCATTTTTAATATCCTTAATACAAATTTTTAAAAGAAAACTACTCCTTAATCTAAAAACCATAACATTTCCTTAAATTCTGCTAGGAGTTATTAATAAAAAATATATGTACATATTGCATTTTTAAATAAGTATTTTAAGATGAATTTCTAATATAAATAATGTTATAAACGAAATTCAGATTTAAGCCTTTAGCCGATATTTTATGAGGATAGATTTATGTAAAAATTGTATGTAAGGTCTCGGAATGGGTAAAATTTGCATCAACCCAGCAGAAAATATGTAATTGTTTCTTGTCTGTAGAAATAAATAACTTCAGGCCCGTTTCGGGACTAGTTCAGGACTATGGCTAGACTAGTTCGGGATCATTTTGACTAGATTAATATTTCGAGACCGTTTCAAGACTTATTCGAGAACATTTCGATACAAGTTCCCCACTTCTTAGCCGTTTCGGGGTTGATTCACTATAATTTCAGGATTATTTTGGGACTATTTCTGAACCATTTGAGACTAGGGAGGACTAGTACGGGTACATTTCGGGACTAGTTCAGAACCATTTCCGGATAGTTCACGACTATTTCAGGAACATTTCGCGCCTAGTTTTGAGTTATTTTGAGACTAATAAAGGACCACTTCCGAACCGTTTCCAGATCCTTTTGGGACAAGTTCATGGCTTTTTCAGAGCCACTTCAGGACAATTT